ATTAAAAAAACAAATTAAAAAATGGTATAACCCATAGCACTATAGTTTACCCAACGCAATCAATTTAGTGTGAACACACAATTAGATCACTGAAAAAAATGACATAAAAAAACTTTAAATTAATGATACAAACGCATTTTTTGAGGAATAGCTTTCAAATTGTGTCAAAACGTAGAAAATAATGCGTTTTAATAAAAAAAAAAGCAAAATATAGCCATAATTCATTTTTTTTTGAAAAATAAATGCAAGTATTCCAATTAGAGCGCTGTTCCAATTTTGGCAATTCTCCCTTATATTAATTTTAAACTGAACTTGAAAAGCATTTATAAATAAATATTTATTTTATAACATGTTCGATTAATCATGAATATTATGTAAGTATTTACAACTTGCTATAGTAAGTTAATTTTCATGAAATAAATTTTTCGCAACATTTAGGATCAAAACTACATTTTTAATTATATGTTGAACTTGGAAAAACATTGTTTAATTGTAAATTAATATCACAACATGTTTGAATAATCATAAATGTTTTATAAGTATTAGTAACTTGCTATAGTAAGTCAATTTTCATTTTGTTACTGATAATATCGTAATATAGTAACGTGTGATATATTTTTTATAACTTTATAAATACACATATAATATTATAGTGTGTATACAGGGCCGGCGCGAGTAGGTGTCACGTGGAGGGGGTGTACCATTATTATCACTTTTGCCTACAAAAAAAAAAAAAAAAAGGTCCTCGTTTTCGAAAATTTGCCGACTACATGACAACATTTGCCGACTAATTGTTTAAACTACCGACTACCCTGTATCGAAAGGGTCGACATTTGCCGACTAACTTGTCGAAAAGGGTCGAATTTGCCGACTAAAAATCATTGATGGGGGGGGGGGGGGTGTTACACCTCCCCACACCCCCTTCGCGCCGGCCTTGTGTGTATAAATATCATAATGTATTAAAATATTAAAGTGTATAAAACTATTTGAAAAAGTAAGTGGTTCAGCGATCAATGCCTCAAAAACCAAGGGTCTTGCTCTTGGAGGTTTTGATCATAAAATATACCCAGAATTGGACAACATAGAGTGGATCAATAACACCGGTTTCAAAATTTTGGGTGATACATTTTACACCAGACTTCGTTTTACGGCAATAACTTTACACCATATAAATCCAGCCGAACTCAGTCCTAGTAATCCCAGCTGAATTCTAATTAATTCCAGCTGGGACCCAGTTGCACTAGCTAACTGGGTCCTATTTTAATACCAATTGCTATTAGACGTTTAAGTGAGAAATTAAAAAATCAAAGACAGAATAAACTACGCAAATAGTGTTAGGAGTTATAATATTTAAAAATTTGAACTCCCTGTAGCATTTTCAGTAGGGTGAAAAAAAAGGTTCAGCTAAGCACTTGAAAAAAAGTTTTGAGATATTGAAGAGAGTTTTGGAGAGGACTTCTATAAAGTTGTAACAGCTGTAGAAGAGTTTAAATAAGATTAAGATGATTGTTATAGACCCGATCAAAACTAATTTAAGTATGTAGTAGAAAGGTTTTTCTCTCATAACCTAAAATATAAAGGAACACAATATACATCATATAAATATAATAAAACAGTTTTGCAATAACACGGCAACACAATACCACAGTCTTCCACCCTCCCAATAGATATCTATATACATATTTTTTGACTTAATTAAGTTTTGTTACAAATTAAGTTTTGAAGGCGGTCTTCTAGTACAATGTGAGTAGTAGTGACGTTAGGATATGGAGTTATGGATAGTGTAATATTGGTACTTGTAGTTGTTTTATTTAAAGAAGGTAAATCATTAGTAGCAGACGGATGATGGCAATCAGTTGATGATATCAGGTTATTTTTATCAGTTTCAAAGTTACTGCTAGTGTTTGTATTGTCCGTCTCACTCAAAGAGTTCTTTGCTTAGGTTTGCATAATACCATATAATAAATAGTTTTAGAGAACTCTAATAATCTGGCGTATATATGGTTGTATATATAAATAGGTCTTTTTTTTATTATTGAATGTATGTGTATTTATGTATGTATATATAAGATATATCTTTAGGCTATATTTTACAGCTATTGGTATAAATTGTATTTTACAGTTATTGGTAAAATAGCTCGAAACAATATGAAAAAAAAAAAGAAGTTGTATGAATTATAAGATTAAAAAAAATCAATTGCAACACAAATTCCAAAATGCTCTAATTCAGAAACCAAAATGATATGTGCAAATTAAATAAACAAATGTTAAACTCAAGAGTCAGTTGAGTGATTTCTTTAAATTAAAAGCAATGGGGAGACGACTTAAAGTTTTATCTGTTTATTGATGTCTTTCTGGTTTTTTAAATTTTTTCAAAACCTTTTTACATGGCTTATTTTACTAAGTTTAATTAACGAGTAAAACTTTTTTTAGTCAGATTTACATTATTTACATTTACATTTATTTATAGTAACACATTTATAACTATTTTCGAACAATATAAGTATATGATTTATTTATATCATTAAAAAAAATTTTTATACGTGTTTATATATATATATATATATATATATATATATATATATATATATATATATATATATATATATATATATATATATATATATATATATATATATATATATATATATATATATATTTATATATATATATATGTAAATTTAATTGTTTTGTTTACATTTGACTTAATATATATAAATTACATATTTTCCAACTACAAACAAGGCTCCTAAAGGAAGATCACAATGATTTTATCGTCAGAAGCCTATTACAAAAGATAAGAATTTTTGACCTTATTCAAATACGTTACCTTTAGAAAGGTTTTTAAATTTATTTTTGTTTTAGGTGCCCTCAAAAAGACCTGACAATTTTGTCACAGGGCACCGCGGAAGAGCATTTAAATAGGACGTTCGCGCCTCCTTCCTTACTAATGGCGCGAAACATGTTTAGAGCTCGCTTTAAAACCAGGATCTCTTGCTTCTAAAGTAAGCCCTCTAATCGCTGTACCACGGCCGAAAATATAACTTGTTTGAACAAATTTTATAGTTTCTTGTGTTGTTGCTTGAAGCGTCTGGAACTAGTCTTATAACGCAAAGGACTTTCAATCTATGGGCAGTGGTCTAAACATAGGTTTATTTCTTAATGGGCTTCGAGTTCATTATTTTTTAAAGAAAAATGTTGTATTTTAAGTGAAATAATTACTTTTAAAAACACTTTTAATAAAGTTTGCATCATTTATGTTGTTGAGAAATGAAATTTCATATTGAAATACTTTTTGAGTACATTTATACCCGATAGTTAATAAAAAAAAAGTTTTTTAAAAGTAGCATTGATTAATGAACCATATAATATTCATCTGTGTAAACTTAGTATTTTACATGGCGAAGAGAAAATGGAAAGAAATGTTTTTACAGTATCGTTTTTTATTAATAAATGATTTAGCAAGCGACAAAGAATAATAAATAGGCAAAACAGGGTTTGTATAAATCCAACCAGCAAAAAATATTAGATTTTAAAATAATAAGATGCATAATTTGTCAAATCATTTCGTTGTTGATAAAGGCGGATTTCCACTTACAGGAAATTTTCTGCGGAACGGAAAGAAAAAGAAAAACCCAATCATGTAACAAAAAAAATTAGAGGCGGAATTTTTGTTACATGATTGGATAATTTTCTTTTCCTTTTCGTTCCGCGGAAAATTTCATGTAAGTGGAAATCTGCCTTTAATTAGATTTTTTGATAAGTATAATCATGGAAGTATAAAACAGATGGAAGTTCATCGAGCCGCAAACATCAAAGCAATTTCAAGTCGTCTCGGGAGTATGCTTGTAACCGACAATTAAAAAAAAAAAAAGGTTTAACTGGATAAAAAAACAACAAAATTCACTGAAATAATTTTTATTAAAACATTAAAAAATGAATTATTCTAGGGATATGTTGCAAATTTTTAACCATTAGTAATTGCAATTATTCAACAAAAGCTTTATTAAAACTCGGTAATTAAATAGAACCACTTGATTTTAAAAGCATATGTTAGTTAAAGCTTCTTTTCTTGCTTCAAGTCATAACGCGACATTTGATAAAAAAGACAACTAAAACAATTTTTAAAAAATCAAAAAAATTGTTTTCTAAGTAACTAAAGTTTAAAGTTTTATTAGCTGTATATGATAACTCCATTCATTCTTGTAGTGCTCCATTCATTTAATATAAAGTTTATAAAAAAGTTGTTGTCTGCTGTTACGTTGCGCCATTTTTAATGTTTTTCATGAATATTATTGGCAAACCTTCAAAATGCTATATTTTTAAATTATTATAAACGTATCTATTTGCGTCAACGTATAAAAATTAAGCGTTTAAGTACAGTCTTGATGTCGTTTTCTTATTGTTTACGAAACAGCATAGTCCCGAAGAATTTCAATGCGGTTGAACTTCCATCTGTTTTATACTTCCATGGTATAATAAAGTGCCTCCACAGAAACATTTTTTGTTTGCGTGTGCTCAGTGTTGCACTCTTTCGGAATGAGTAAAGAGTATTTATCTTTTTAAAATTGTTTGTTATACAAATTGTGGAAATTTCAAAATATGCTTAAATCTTAAATGTGCTTCTGTAGAAGTCGTTAAAATAAAAAAAATAAAAAGCTTTTTTTTTTTTAAGCTTAATATAAAGAACTTGCTTATATCATAGGTTAATTGGGGTTTATTAATTTTTTAATACGTAAAACGTGAACTTGATTTAAACTTTCATGTTTTCAATTACTCTATATTTGTAGTGAATAAGGTTTTCAATTTTTTAATTGACACAAATTTACCATGACAGTCAAATTTAAAAGCAGTGGTTCAAATACCAGCCACATCGTATCGTTTAGGTAAAATCAATAAGCTTTTAATTTTCTATATAAGAGTCGAAGTCCGTTGCTATGGAATCAATGAAAAACTAAAACATACAAAAAATTTGTAAACATTATATTTTGTTACTAAATTTAAAAATTATTGGATTATACCTATTTTCTGACATACATTTTATAAATATGTTTTTTTGACATACATCTACAATATGTAACAATTTTAAAAATTTATGCCATAAATAATTACAAACAACAGCAACGTCAACAAATACAGCAATTATATAATACTGTTGTTATTATTATTGTTATTATTTTTATTATTATCATTACTATAACTTAAAAAATAATAGTAATAATAATAGTAATAAGAATAATTATAATAATAATAATGATATATTTATACACAGATAAAGATGTACTTTTTTTTTTATTTTTTTTTTTATTTTTAGTAGTTGTTTTAGGTGCTCCCAGAAGTCCTTACGTTCTTATCACAGAGCGCCGCGGGAGAGCATTTAGCTCACGCCTCCTTTCGTACCATTGTTGCTTGTTGGGCTAGAGCTGGCGTCGAACCTCGGACCTCTAGGTTCTGAGCCAGAACTCTAACCACTGCGCCACGGCTGCTCAAACATACATACAAACATACATACATACATACATACATACATACATACATACATACATACATACATACATACATACATACATACATACATACATACATATATACATACATACATACATAAATACATTTATTTTTGAGCCTTTTCAAATACTGCAATTTAAAGGTTGTGCAGAGCTATATTTGTTCCAACAAATTGGTTGATGGGTTCTTCTTCAAGCGTCTTTTAAAATTTGTATTAGTTAAAAATCTAATTAATTTTAGGTTAAGCAAATGCTTTTGAAAATACCTACTAATGAAGCAATTAATCAGAACATTAGAAATGGTAGATAGTTTGGAAAATAAAGCACAGACTGTCACTACATGTGCAGGAACGGTGATTTTCAGCAATGTCAAAATGCAAACAACTGCGTAGGGTGTCCAAATAACAAAGTATATTGCAGCTGATAAAAAATTTACTTTCAAATATTCTATTTCTAAAATGTCAACAAGTCTGTTTTTTTGATCTTGGCGAAATTTAGAAGCTTTCCTACGATAAATTGTCTTTGTGCTGAAGTATAGCCCCAATACTATTATAATTCCTGGCAAAATATTGCAGAAGATTAAAACTGCAAGAAAAAAAGATCGAGACTCAGGTTGACTCAACTTCCAATCTAATGAACAGCGTTTTTTATCGAGATCTACTTCGTATTTAGACCAACCAATAAAAGGAAACGTTGCCCAACTAAAACCATAAACATAACAACTCAAAATCAACGCTACTTTATAATAAAACGCTTTGCATCTTTGGAAATAAAAAAATGGGTACTTTACAATGATAGTTCTAATCAAAGAAAATAATGACATATGAGTTATACTTGTTACAGCAAACCCAAAAACTGCAAAACCGCTGACAATACACATTGGAGTTTTTCTCGACACTGATTCATCTGAAATTATTATCTGAGGTATTAATCCAATTATTGATTCCAGCAAATTTGTAATTGAGAGGCTTGCAATAAATAAGTGCGTCAGTTCTACTTTCTTTACTTTAAACAGCATAATATAACTAGCTGTTGTGTTTAATACAACGGAAACGATAAGTATCAAAGAAAGAAAAATACTTGAAGTAATTCTGTAACAAGTCATTATGCAAAACCTAAAAATAAGTTAATAATTATATTTGCTTAAGATTTGCTAAAAAGATGTTTTCACTAGAAATATTTTTTCTTTAAAATTATTGTTATTTTTAAAAGTTAACAATAGTTCTAAATATTTCAAAAACAAAATTAAAAATAAAATTATAGTTTCATTATTAAGTTTCATTATGAAAAATATAATAGTTGCTGTACTGCCTTAAAAAAAACCTATCAGCTTTAAATATTTTTTAAAGCTGATAGGTTTTTTTTAATTGCTAACCCAGATATTACCATTTAAACTGTTATCACATGATGGTGCTAACCTTTCTTAGATGAATGTCACTCAGGTAGTTACAACTTAAGACCATTTTCATGCTGATAAAAATCTTTTTTTAAAAAATGAAACATACGATTATGGCTCAAAAAGAAGCGTGCTTAAGAAAAAAAATTATTTTTGGTTAATTATTTGCGCCTACAGTACATAGACAAAAAAAAGTTAGCATATTCATCTAAAGGTGTGTTCCATAAAAATACATCCTATGAAAGAATTATCGTTATCTTTCAAAATAAAAAAAACTAAAATTGAATTGCATCAATTATTATAAATATGTAACCATATTATTAGCAGTATTATTACATTCTTGCTTTAATTTAATTATTTTTTATAAACTTGTGCATATATTATATCTAATTTAATTAATGCTTTATGAAACTGTGCATATATTAACTTGAAGTATTAAAAAGACTTTTTAAAATTTTTAGAAATTTAAATATTTTTTTTTCACAAAACCTGATCTAGGGTGGAACATGTAAGATAAAGATTACCTGTTTAATCTTTTACCTGTTACCCGTTTGACTTTTTTTAATGTTAAACTTAAAGATATTCGTTATTACATTAATTATGCTTATATTAAGGGAAACATAATATTAGCATAATTAATGTAATAACGAATAAAAATACACTAAGCTTTAAAAAAGTACATCAAAGCTTATCCTAAGCTTAGCATCTAAAATCTGAAAGATTTTTTACGTAAGATACAGATATCATCATGTCATTATAAAGTAAAACAAAAATTATCAATATATTTAAACTATGTTAAAAATTTAAAAAAACAACTATTAAAATAACTAATAAAAATATAAAGCAAATACATTATTCTAATAAATACATGTTAATATGAACAATGTTTTAATTAGTTAGCAATATAAAAAAATTAAAAAATTAAGTAAAACTAGAAAAAAAACACAATGCATTTTCAGAATACTCATGAACAATTAAGAGACATGTATAAATGTATAAAAAAGGCATTAGGCATTAATAATATGTATGTAAAATACCGTGAAAATTCTTTAAAATCAAATTCATGCTTTGATTTCAATAATGAATTATTATTCCTGAATGTAAAATGATTTGAATTATGTCTAAATGTCCAACAATAAAAATGACGCAACAAGATATGTTTGTTATGCAATCTACAACGTTAAGAATGCTCAAAAGTATTTAAACAGCTTTTTTTGTGTTCTTTTGTAATGAGAAAACGATACCTGATTTTCAGTGCTCCATTAGATACGTTGCTTTTTCAAAATGAACCATTTTGATTTTATACAAACTCTTTTAATTTAATAGAAAAGATTTTATACTAAATACATATAAGTGAAATTTATTCCAAACCTCAGCAGAAAAGCTTATCCACGTATTTATACATATATGTAAGTAAAATACCGTGGATAAGCTTTTCTGCTGTGACTCGGAGTAAATTTCACTTATACGTATTTTATATATACTATATATATATGTAAGTTATCATACATAAATCATATATGTATGTAAAATATCGTATATGATCTTTTCTGCTTAGATTCGGAATAAATATCACATATATGTATTTTGCATAAAGTCTATTTTATTACATCGTTGAAGTTTAATTTAATTTTAACATGCGTTGAAAAAAGACTTTTTTTTTTCACTTTAATTGTAATTGGGTCTAGCACTCTTTTTATGAGGAGATTTTTATTATTATTGTCATTGTTTTTATAATATATATATATATATATATATATATATATATATATATATATATACTTAAATGTATATATATATATATATATATATATATATATATATATATATATATATATATATACATATATACATATATATATACATATATATACATATATATGTATATGTATATATATATATATATATATATATATATATATATATATATATATATATATATATATATATATATATATATATATATATATATATATATACATATATATATATATATATGTATTTTCAAAAGATTTGATTTTACTATAAAAATCTGGAATAAATATTAAAAAAATAGAAGAATTTACAAAAAAATATTAACCAACAAAAAACATACATAATAAACCAATAAAAAAACAATTACAAAACTTGGTAAATAATTACTCAGTAAATAACCGATCAGCATAATCGAAATAAAGTAAACTAATAAATAATGGAAAGTTTGTTTATTAAGTGAAGGATTTTTCAACTTAATGTAAAGATTTTTACAACCCATTGATGTATTTAAATGTTTATACACATGGGATTAACTGGATAACAACTGGGATTACTGCCGGCGCAAGAAAAATTGCATAAAACATGAAACTTAAGCAATTTAGGAAAACGATTACTAATTAACTACTAATTATTTTGTATATTATTATTAGTAAAATTAGTAAATATTATTTCTATTAGACCATGTTTGCAAATTTTATAAACAATTTTTTTAGTTTTCATTTTTGTATAAATAACAAAATTTCTTGCCACGTATTTAAATATTAAAATAGTTGTAATTCTCATAAGTACTTTTGCTAATATATGCCAGTTTATCTTATTTTGGTTATACTTGTCAGTTATTTACCGAGTTTATATTATTTTATTTTTTTTCCAATAGTATTTCTCTACATATATATATATATAATATATATATATATATATATATATATATATATATATATATATATATATATCATCATTTAAAATGATTTAAAAGATGCATTAAACGAAAATTTTAGTAAAGTCATCCAATTGGATGAAGAAATATCGTTACTTAGAGAGGATGAAGAAGTCTTATATAATAAAGTAAAATCTTTAATTGAATTTTATCCTATTTTTAAAAATATTTAAAAATATTTAAAAGCGAAATTTCTAAAACTAAATAAGTTGAAAAAATTTGATTTTAAAAACGGCTGAACAGTGAGCAACTTTAAAAAAAGAAACAATAAAATTAAAAAAATTTTATGCCTAAAATTTTTGTAAGTCTGAAAATAATAAAACAATTGCAAAAAACTTCAACTATGCTTTTAATCAAAAATATGATCTCTCAAGAATTAAGAAGAAATGTCTTTGTAATTTATGCAAAATCCAGCTTTATCATTTATATTAGGACTTAACATAACAAATAAAAGCTGCAAAACAGCTTTGGACATAAAAATGTTACGATAACAAATAGAACATGATATTTTCTTATATGAGAAAACTGTTATCCCTTAAAGATTGAATTTTAAGGTATTTCATTTTAAATTACAATTTAAATTAAAATACTTATTAGATAAATTGAAATACAAATGCATGGACAACTCCTTTTTCTAATTATATTACAAAAAATACCTTAGGAGTTTAATCAAGTTATTAATTCGAGACAGTTCAATAACAGTAGTACATGAGATGTCATAACAATAATTAAAATTTTAAAAACTAAAATACATGTAAAAAAATGTTCCAAAAATTATTAAACTTTATATTACAATGTAGATAAAAATTATAGAGCATAGAAAATTTTTATCAGCAAAAAAAATATAATAACCATACTGTAACAGAAACTTCAGCTGAAACAGGCTGTAACACAAACTTCACAGCAAAATTACCGGTTCAATTTTGTTAAAAAGATTATAGAATACTTGTATTTTGATTACAATATTCAGAAATTTTTACAGCAGCAATTTTATTGTTGAAAACTTTAAAACAGTTACTGACACTTACTTGGTTTGCAATAAGCAAAGTTTTTAATTGTAATTATTTTTAATGTGTTTTTCACGGTTTTAATTTAGACACTTGAGGTTGTTAATGTAATATAAATTGCTGAATGAACTTCTAAGAAGGGGAAGTTAAGTAGATTTTAGTTTGATAAAAGCATAAAAAAATGTGATAAATTTCTCGTTGCATTTATTGCGCAAAAGCTAAATAATAGCCGAGCTAAAGAGAAAGATGGGGCCAAGGCAGAAGAAAAAAGAACGTAGATTGTAGATTATAGATTTTAGAACAGAGATCTTAGAACAAAGATTGTAAAAATAAAATCGTAGAGCGGTTAAATATCTGAAACGATGGATAAAGCTATGAAGTCATGGTTATGACTTAAATGGCTGGAGTTTGTGTAATTCTTAGGATCAAGAATGAATATAATTATGTTGTAGAAGCTCTAAAACGTTTACTGGAGATTATGTGGTTAGCGATAAACAAAGGTTTTAATTAATAGTTATTTTAAACATTTTTTTTAATATGAATATTTGAGTCTTGTAATATAATATAAATTATTGGCTGAAATTGTAAGGGGAAGTTAAATGACTTGAGGGAAGTTAAGATGTTAGTTTAATGATAGAAAAATGTGATAAACTTCTTATTGTCTTCCTCAATATTTCACGTAAATAGTCAATTTGACTGCTCGCTTTTCATACAATCCAAATCATTTACCTTCTCTTCTCAACAAATGCTTTGTTTCTGATCCTAATCAGTTCTCAGTTTCTCCACATTCTGAATAGTAGAAATCTTTCGTCTTCTTGCTGACAAATATGCTTCTTATGTAACTTCTAAGGTTCAGTTAACTTGGAGTTGTTGAGAGTAAACTTATTGTTTTCTGCAATTTCCAATCGTAACCATTACTTTGACATCTATTGCTAAAACAATTCTTCAGAAAACAGACGTCTTTTTTACTATTTCTAGAACAAATTGTAAAAAGATTTTATTCAATGTCAAAACCCGCTATTCTCAGGTCACAAAAATCTTGTATTTTATCTCAAAAACTAGCCTCCATAGACTTTTGGAGAATCTTTTACAGCGTCTACAATAAATCTGTTATTCCTCCTCTCTTGCATGGTTCAAATTTTTTTTATCTCATTTAAAGACAAAGCTGAATTGTTTTCTAAAAACCTTTTATCAATCTAATTTCTTGATTTTATTAATCACATCCTATCTGGTATAGCTGACAATCAGTTCGGCCCATTGATTGAAATTCGTATCACTCCAGCTTCTGTATCTAAAGTAATTTCCAGCTTAAACTGCTGATACCTGTTATAGTCTTGCAGAAATGTTCTCCGGAACTGTCGTTTATACTTTCAAAACTATTTAACAAGTGCTAATCAGAGTCTTGTTTTCCAGTCTGTTAACATACTGGTCTTCTCATAAGCTGCTTACGGTGTATCAGGTAACATCTTTAAGGTTATTAAATCCTTTTTTACCAATCATAGTATAAACGTTGTCCTTGATGGGCAGTACTCTTCATTTCCTTTAACTTCAGGTGTTTCTCAAGGCTCTATTCTTGGCCTTATGCTTTTTTTATTTACATTAACAATCTCCCAGAAATTCTCACAACTAAAGTAGCATTGTTTGCTAATAATACTTCTATTTATTGTAGTTTTAAGTAGAAGCCAACACTCTCTGATTGCTTGGAAGGATTATATTTGAGCTTGAAAAGGATCTAACTTCTGCTAAAGCATAGGTCTTTTAGTGGCTTGTTAACTTTAACTCAGATAAAACTCAATTTTTTTTAAATTAATTTTTATCGTAGTAATCTAGATCTTCTTATATTTATAAACAGTATTGTACTCAATCAGTCATCTAAATTAACCTTACTTTTGATCTATCTTCGAAACCATATATCAAATCCATTGCAAAATTAGATCTGCTAAGGTTTACCATGCTCGCCACTTTCTTACTCCGGATTCTATTATTATTCTCTATAAATCTTAAATCCGTCCTTGTATGAAATACTGTTGCCATATCTGAGCACGAAATATGCTTTTTACTGCCGTGGCGCACTGGTAGTGCACTTGCCTTAGACGCAAAGGATCCGTGGTTCAAACCCCACCTTTGGGCTAGTTTTGCGATATCGGTTAGGACGGAGGCGTAAATTTCCTATTAAATGCTCATCCGCGGTGCAATGTGATAAGACCGTAGGGACTTCTTGGGGCATCTAAATAAAATTAAGATGCCCCAAGAATTATATATATATATATGTATATATATATATATATATATATATATATATATATATATATATATATATATATATATATATATATATATATATATATATATATATTTATATATATATATATTTATATATATATATATATATACATATATATATATATATATATATATATATATATATATGTATATATATATATATATATATATATATATATATATATATATATATATATATATATATATATATATATATATATATATATATGAAGCGAATCTTCAAATGATGCCCTTTCTCCTTTAGACTAGGTGATGGAAATCAACATTACGACCTATTAATGTTGCATCCCTTTCTCTTTTCTATAAATACTATAATGGACTTTGCTATATTGAGCTAGCGTCTCTTGTGCCATCT